TCAGTCCGTGTGGGAGATGTCTTTGTCGCTGCCGAGTACGATTTGGAGGAAAACATCATCGGCGCTGTTGAGTTGGAGACAAGTGCATCAGCGAAATCAGCAGGAGCCATGCACTGTCGTGCCGCCGTAGCCTTCGCTCCGTCCCAGGTGCTATGTCGATGCGGGCTTCAGGCATGCTACAGGGACGACTTCCGGAGTGCTTCTCACTTCTTATGACAAAATCCCTAGTCTGCAAGGAAGTACTATCTTGGTTGAAGGATCAAAATGTGGTTGCAATTGACTTATTCACGGATTGTTTGGAGTTTCGTAACAACCTATTATCAGCACAGGTGTCGACGCTATGTCGGGATTATTATTGATCAGTGTAGAGCGGCTATGGCCTTGTTTGATTACTGTTCTGTTAGTTTAATTTCTAGAGCTTTGAATTTACATGCTCATACTCTTGCTGCAACAGCCTTTGTTCAGGCAATTTCGTTGTACTGGGACTCTAGAGCTTTGAATTTACATGCTCATATTAAAAATAAACTTGTATTAGAGTTCATCTTCTAGGGTTAAATTCATGGAGCACGGTATAATTTGTCGTAAAATATAAGGGTGTTAATATAGTTGAATATGAATATTCAATACATTCAAAATGAAAAATCAAAAGTTAATAGTTTACCTGAGCCATTAGTTCATTAAAGCAAACAATTTCTTACATGTACAGCATACTTGTGCTATTTCTCTTCCAAAGGCTTTATGATCGAGCAGCATAGTTGTGACCCCTCTAATGAGAGGTCTCAAGTTCGAATTCCATTGTGGGGGCATTGACGATTTAGAAAGTATGTATGAACAAATACTACATTGTAATAGTTTCCCTTTTTCATATTTTACATTGCGCACTGCTACAAAAGCTACCATGAACCTTATTACACTCTGGGTGAAGAATCGAGAGAAAGCAGCCCTGAAATAGATTACATCCCGGGTCAAGAACCGGGTGTAACTCTGATGCAGTTCAGAAATGATAATGCAGCAGCTAGAGGATACCTCCTATCACAAATGAATGACAATTTGTTCGACATCTATGTCAAACAAGACCTGACAAAAGTCATTTGGGAATCACTGTCAGAAAAGTATGGTGCCAATGATACTGAAAATCAAAGTGTCAAAACCGTCTACAACAAAGGAAGATGTTTTATGTGCGGAAAGCAAGGACACCGAACATACCAGTGCTACCATCGCAGGAGCAAAACTAACAAAAGTCAATCTAACAGAGCAAGATGAGTATTGAGTCTCTTTAAATAAGTAGTTATTTTGAGTAACTATAATTGCTCTAGCTCTAAGGGCTCGCATGAAGTATGATTTTCTTAGTACTAAATACTAGTTGGTTGTCTAGGTTTTGATTACTTAGTAGTACTTATTTCTTTAGTATGTTGAATACTAATGACATTGATTGAAATGATTTGTGCATAGATATTGCTCAAATATTTTTACTAAAATAAAATAAGAGCATATATCAAAGGCTTCAATTGCAATTTAATGAGAACATGAAGATGTCATCATTCTTGAACAGTCTGCTTATGAAGATGGTTTTTTAGTAAACTTCAATTTCACCACTCGACTTGGGAGTGCTTAAGAAGTAGGGTGTTGATCATGAAGGCTAGTTATAGGGCCACTTGATCTCCACCTGAAATTAGGCTACCTTTCATATGTTGTTAAATAATCAAAGCCTTGCAATAGAAATTGTTGAAGTAATGCAATAGTAATATTGATCTGCATCATATGAATGCTTTATATGAGTTTTAATTTACTCAAGCGAAGGAAAAGTTGTGCAGGTGGCAACTTTGAATTCTCCTTGTTGAGAGATATTTCTTAATAAATGTTAGTTTGAACATATTCTTTGTATATGAGATTAATTTCTTGTAAGAATATGATGTGAAGTTTATGATTATGCTGTTCAACTTGAAATAGCATGAGGACAACACTATCTCTATAGCTTACTAACAATGAATATTTGTATATAATATCATTATTTAAATTTTTGGTTGAGTCATCTTGAAAGACCTATAATTCCTGTTTAAAGAGAAATTATGATGGGTTGAGATAACCAAGTTTGTTAAAATATATTCAACTATTGAGTGTACATCAGACAAAGTGCGAAGCTACAATAATGCTCCACAAAGTAAATCGGCAAAACTCAGTCTACAAAGGAGCTAATGTTAGGCACCAAAGATCAGTCTGGGTAAGAGATCAAATACATTTGACAAAAATATTTGTAAGTGTTGCATTGTAGGGGTGATTAAGTCCTTATATTTTCACTAAAAGTTTCCCTGTGGTATTAAAAATAATGATAAAAGAAAATGTTTCATGTTAAGCATGAAAATCTCAAGGGATTATTCACGAGTAAACGAAGTACTCGTCAAAGTGCATGTAAGTTTGATCAATAGAATCAACTTACTTGAAGGCTAAGTATGAGGATTAGTCATTAGAAGGACTTAAAGTCCAAGTGGTAATGAATTCGTAGTGGATCCCACTTTTGTGGTCAAACGAAGCCATGAAAAGAATTACAAAATAGTACACTAGTTGGTCATTCCTAAAATGTGTACTTGTGAGGCTGAGCTACAACTCTTAATGAATTCATAACTCTTTGAGAAGGGCGGTTTTGTTGAGACAAACTTAATGAATTCACCGCATAATGACTTGAGTACAAAAGTGCTCTTAATGTCTTATACTCAATTAGGGTGGTCTATTTCGAGGTAGACCTAAAGAGATCCCTGACTTAAGTGGAAAATGGTTAATCGCCTCTTATGAAAGATAATAGGGGTATCCCAATAAGCTGAGTGGCTAAGAAATATGCTGATAAACATGTAGTTGTGAGAGTGTCTAGCTAACACCTTCACTACATATACATTGTGATTCACAAACTGTCGTTTGCATTGCAAAGAACAATGCTTATGATAGAAAGAAAAAGACTTGCAACTGATTTATGTCCTTAACTACTCTATAAGCCTTTAAAAGTGGTCTATACTGAGATAGACTTGATAGAGTTAAAAGTCTATATTGAGATGGACTTTACAAGACATAAAAAATTATAATGCGATAAGACTTGTCAGAGTTAAAAGTCTATGGTGAGAGAGACTAAGACAGGGTGAAAGTCTATATTAAGATAGACATAACAGACTTGTATAAGCTAGATCAACAATGGAGAATGAATTTATACTTCTTGACTTAGTTGGGCAGGAAGCCGAGTGGCTGAGAAACTTACTGGCAAACATGCCATGGTGGGGTGTGCTACACCGCCTGTGCCCATACACTGTAACTCACAAAGAAGGCATATAAGGGTCAGACATGAGTCTGTAAGACGGTTGATTACGACTGGATCACTCACATTAGAATATACGGAGTCCAAGAAGAATATTGCAGATCCTCTCACAAAGGACTAAATAGAAAGGTCGTCCACAATACATCGAAGGAAATGGGCTTAAAATCAACAAAGTCAAGCTTACATAAAGCAACTGAACATGAGATGTTCTAAGTTAGAGTCAAACATGAGATATATATATATATATATATATATATATATATATATATATATATATATATATATATATATATATATATATATATATATATATAATTCCGTGTCTGCCTATTAAAGTCTGAGCAATAGTGAAGTTCGCCTACGTGATTGCTAGTGCAAGCTGTCCATAGTAGGTCTGTGTAGCCTATCGAAAGCGTGTCAGGTTCTAATTGCACCGTTACCGGGCAAATAACGCTTTTAAGGTAGTGTTATTATAACACGACACAGATTTCTCTTCTACCATACACCCGTTGTGTCCGTGCTTCTTAAAAGGTTTCTCGCCCGTGCGTTGACGTTGCGAATATTCTCCAACATTAATTACCCCTTTAATTGAAAAATTCATTCCATAATAAGATAAAGATTTTTCATTCTATTATTCCTCATCATACATAATTAAACAGCAATATTGATAATTATTCGCATTCCATCCTACAACCAACCATGCAAAATTCTTTCACCAAAATCCATTACCATTATCATTACCAAGTATTTGATATCCATTCCGATTCTGATTTTCATGTGCGAACCAAAGACACCCTAAGTAGTAATTGTAAACTTGTCCCCTCCCCCAAAAAAAAAAAAAAAAAAAAGAAAGAGTAAAAGTAAGAGAAGAAAGGTAGAAATGGTATTGCTTTCCCAAAATAACCACAAACCACAACTAGAAATCAATTCAACCAATTCAATTTAAGCATTTACCCCTTGTTTTGATAGTTAGCATATACTCCGTAATTAGTTTTGAGCAGACAAAAGCTAGGGCTTCTAGTATAACTAGGGCATGAGCAATGGCCAGTTGACTACTTAGTCATAAAAAGTAATGATTCACAGTTCAGCCACCAGAGAATATAATCCCAATTTTCTTCAATAAGGTTGGTCTGAATGACCCACAAGCATTAAATCCTTTCCAATGTGCATAAACTGCCCATAGTTTAGCAAAACCAATGGCCTTATATTATGAAAGGAATTTAAGCAAAGTTTCTCATTATTAGGTTAAGACATAAAATAATTCCAAGTTGGCATGTAGAAATATATAGAGAAAAGGAAACTCACATGAAAGGAATTCTGGGGTGTAGAAGCAGCCAATCAGGGAAAATTAATGAAGTTATTAATTTACAATCTGACAATAATGTTTCCTTAGTTCAGTAGATTGTGCATGCACTTCCATTATACTTTGCATGGTACATGCCTAAAAGAAATATTTATCATTATTATGTGCATCATATCATTAAAATTATAAGTTATGCTCATTATAATACAGTAATAATGTACTTGAATGAAATGAAGGTTATTCGTTTACAAATTACAATTATGATGAACATACCCCAATCACATGGTTTATCAGGAACTGAACTTGGACATATTAGGCTATTACCTATTTCCAATGCACCAAATAATTTCTCTTTTCTTAATTTGCAACTACCATTTCTTCAAATCTAACTGAGTAAGAATATTCAACCAACTTGCTTATAGCTATATATATTGCATTTGGACTATGCATATTCATTCATTCATTCATTGCTAGAGAAAAGGTGATGGAGATACCTGTAATTGACTTCAGTAAGCTTGCTGGTGAGGAGAGACCTGAGACTATGGCTCTCCTCCATCATGCTTGTGAGAAATGGGGATTTTTTATGGTAAGCAATTGTGACTATTTTGTATTTAAGTTTAGTATTTGGTAAATACATCTTGTGGTTTGATGGCATAACTGTTACCATTCCAAATGGAAGGTCACAGGATCCCAATCAAGGATGTTAGCATAATCATGTTGAGCAAATAAATACTATAGATAGGGTTAGATTGTAGTTACCAAAAAAACAAAAATGTTTAGTGTTTGGTACATCTTCATTCCCTAATTCAAAGATTTTCATGAATGCAGGTGGAGAATCATGGAGTCGAGAAAGAGTTGATGGATAATGTGAAGCAAATGGTGACACAGCATTATGAAGAGAACTTGAAGACAAGCTTCTATAATTCAGAGATTGCTAAGAGTTTGGAGAAAAAAGAAAATACCAGCAAAGGTGACTGGGAAAGCACCTTTTTTCTTTGGCATCATCCAAATTCCAACGCCAATGCATTGAGAAGTCTCCCAAATGGCTTTTGGTAACTCCACCACCTGATTGGATACTGCTTCAATGCTAGAAAAATAAATAAATATAAAATTCACATCAGCTATTATTAAAATATTTCATCACTACTGAGAAAAACTCTGCATTATGGTCAATGTATCTTATCTAAAATGTATGTGCATATGCAGCAAAACAATGGACAAGTACATTGAACAACTGATCGCCCTAGCAGAAAATCTTGCTGAACTCATGTGTGATAACCTTGGTCTACAGAAGACTCACATTAAAGAAGCATTTTCGGGAAGCAAGGGTCCTTCTGTTGGAACGAAGGTGGCAGTATACCCTCAATGCCCTCACCCCGAACTAGTTAGAGGACTTCGAGAACACACTGATGCTGGTGGCATCATTCTCTTGCTCCAAGATGACCAAGTCCCTGGTCTTGAGTTCTTCAAAGACGGAAAATGGGTACAAATTCCACCCTCCAAAAACAACAGAATCTTTGTGAACACAGGAGACCAGATAGAAATACTAAGCAATGGAAGGTACAAGAGTGCTTTGCACCATGTCCTGGCTACAACTGAGGGAAATAGACTTTCTATTGCCACCTTCTATAATCCTGCTGCTGATGCCATAATTTCTCCAGCTGCAAAGCTCTTATATCCAAAACAAGTTCGCTTTCAGGATTATCTGAACCATTATGCCAAAACCAAGTTTACAGACAAGGGCCCCAGGTTTGAGTCCATGAAAAAAATTGTCAATGGGAATGAAAGAATCTGTGCCTGAAGGGGAAACTCATTACCATACTATTTGTACTTTTCATTTACTTGTGTGTTTTGCCTTTCAAGGCTGAGTATAAGAGATGCTAATGTATTACAAATATTCAATAAAATATACGTTTAATCATATGCAATTCAGATGTAGAAATGGAATTAATTCAGAAATTATATAGGAGTTTGTAAAGAAGAAAAACTATTTACCAGCATCAAGGAATATTCGCAGCCAAGATGATGAAGACTAGTTCAAACAACATAATAGGCAAATCTATTTCCAGATTCTATCCTGAGTGACTAAAGCTTGTAGTTAGAAATGTTTAGAAACTCATCATCACTCACAAGCTAGATAGCTTTGATAGTATAGATTTGGTTACAAGTGTACTTGTGTGTCGAACAGCATCAGTCAGTGCTAGTTTTTGTGACTTCAACAAAGGTGCACACTTGTTCACAAAACATAATAAGAAGTTGCAAAATTTCAAAGACTTTGAAAACTTTTCCGTGGACTTGCAAGACCAATGAACAAGTTGATCGACCGAGTCTTGAGTCAAATGGATATTATAATTCAAGATATTTTGCATCAAGACAAATAATGACTCTGTCCATACCAATTCTTTGCCAATCAAATATCGGTGACAAGGAAGGCAGAAAAACTTAGGTGCATCTTTCTGTTCACATAGAAGTCTCTGAACGAGGGCAGAAGCGTGGCCAGGGTGCAAGCATTCTTTCATAATCCTTGTAATGACATCACAAATGGGGTTGTTTATGCCTCCAACTTTTAGTATCAATGGAGACAACAGAGCATACTCAGCAGCCTTCTGATGAACCTTGCAGTATTCCACTATTGCTGTCATTAGCACCCGAGAAGCAGGTTCTAGGAGACTTAAAAGTTTGGGAAGAACAATTGAGCAAAGAACATAACTTGGCCAACCAAGCTCATCCTCCTCCCCATCCACCAGGTGAGAAATTAAAATTGAAGCAGTCTCATCATCTGCTTCCCATGGTTCAGTTATATGGAATAATGCCAAAGCATTCCCTCCCCTGCAAAGCTGTTGAACTTCCCTGGCTAATTCTATGGTTTTAACTGTAGATTCAAAGTTTAGTATCCTGACTTTCAGGCAAGCTGCCATTTTTTCAACTCCAGGGTCTAAAGAATAACCATCTTCAGAAAAACCTGCACCAACTTCTTCCATTCTTTCATCTAAATCTTCTTCTTTATTCTCTTCAACTCCAACCAACAAATCATCATTTTCACCATAACTACTGAGTTGCATTCCAGAAATGGGTTTGCTTAGTGACATAGGCAGCCAAGGAAGCACTAAATTATTCTTACTAGCTGCATCTTTAAGCCAATCCGGCAAAGACCCAAATTCATCCTCCATTTTCTCTTCTTCAGCATCCAAGTGTAAGCAAGAAACCCCCTCACATTTTGGTTCTGACACTACATCAAACAACTGCTGTGCAGCCCTCTGTACCCAAAAATCAAGCTCCTTTCCCTCGTTCAAGATCATCTCAGCAAGCTTACACAAGTCTCTTTTAAAAAACATCCTGCTATCATATAAAAGAAACGACAGTATGCGAGCTTGAACTGCATTGGGCAGCGTCCGTATCCACATAACCCTGGTCACAAACAAAAGAAAAAAGTGAATCTTGAAAGCACAGCATAAGAAAATATAACAAAGAAATTTCAAAAGAAAAATTACCTTTTCCTGTGGTTAGATGGGGGTGACGATGGAGAGGAAGGGTCTGTGAGATCGATGTCAATTGCCTTTGTGAGTAGTGAAATGAAAGAAGTTGTTGAAATGGATGAAGAGGCGGGATCGAAAGATTGTTGTAGCCAAAGAGAGGCGTCGGCTTCTGGGCATGTAGAGTTCAAGAAAATCTTGAATAGGGGAACCCAAAACTCCATTTTCATTCGCAGAGGTGGTGACTGAGGATCGATGGGAGTGCTTTCGGAGATCGATAAAGCGCGGGAAAATGTTGTGATAAATTGCACTGCGGTCCCTTGAACTTTACGAACTTAGAAATGTGTCGCAATTGTATCAATGCCGACAATGCGGAGTATATAAGTATGTTTACAAAATATAAGTCCACATGGGTAGCTCAACGGGTCATAGAGATGAAATTTGAAAGAATGACAGGATCAAGTCTTACCAGTTTCAGTGTGGGAGCAACCTCTCAAAGTGAGGGGACTCCTTGTGCGCAATGAGCAAATGTACCAGCTCCAGTGTAGGACCTTTAGGGTTGGGGTTCAACCTTTTTGGAAGAATGTTTACAAAATATAATAAAAGAAATATAATAAATGAATCAGTGATATAATAAAAGAAATATAATAAAAGAATCAGCGTTCGAGAATACATTTTAAATTGGATTCTAATATGGAATATTTTGGGAAGTGGATAAAACAAAGAAAAGCGGCTCTCAGGAAGTCGTGTTATTCATTTTTTAAATTGTGTAACACGGTTTCAAAAGAGTTGTGTTATGAAGATATGAAAGATGTCGAAGAAATATTCAATCTCAGCAAGCTCTTCAGCTGCCCAAACTCTCTAGGAATCGGACCGGTGAAAGAATTAGATGCCAAAATCATCTCCGAGAAAAAATGAGCTGAAGGAGTGGAAAAGAACCTCTAAATCTCCCAACAAGAGTTGATTTGAAGGTGGGTTGGTGTTTCGAAAAAAAATTGGCCAAGTTATGACTTTGGGTGATTTATTAATCTTTTTGGTTTGAGATAGTTTATTTTATTTTAGTTTAGAAATTAGTTGTTTTTTCTATAGATTTTTTAAATTTTTTGGTGACAAGAAAAACTCGGAATTTGATGCCGCACACTCTTTTCAAAAAGTTGAGCATAGGCATCCTCAAGCCTACCCATATATGCATCCAATTGGCTGATAAATCTATCAACTACCCTTGTGGTATTGTGGAGGATGTCTTAGTGAGGGTGGATAAGTTTCATCTTCCCAATTGATTTTGTTATTCTAGATATTGATCCTGGCGTAGAGGTGCTGCTCATTCTAGGGGGCCATTTTTTGCCACCACTTGGGCCCTCATTGGTGTTGGAGAAGGCAAACTAGTGATTCATGTCAGGGACTAATCCGTTAATTTTGACGTATCTAGATTGACAAAGTACCCCATGGAAGGGGACAATGAGTGTTTATATGTTGATGTTTTGCATAAGGATGCGGATTATTTTTTTAATTTGTCATGTGAGAAAAACATGTATTCTACGACTTGTAATTTTGAGTGCCCTATTGAGCATGATGATTCCCAAATAAACAAGGATTTGCATGAACTATTTGTTAACTAGAATTGTGTGGTTATTTTGATGCATGTGACAATTTGTGTGATACTACTTGTGTTGATAATGCATGTAAATGCTCTTGGTGAAGTTGAAGAGGAAATGATTTGCGGTGATAGGGTTGTTTTTTAAGAATATTGTGAAGAGAGATCAGAGGTGAGAGTGAAGGTGAGAAAAAGAATGAAGGTGAGAAAAAGAATGAGGGAGAGTTGAAACCTTTGCTCGAACAGTTGGAGTATGCATACTTGGGGGAGGATTCAACCAAACTGGTGGTGATTTTGGCAAGACTTAGTCTGGATCAAAAAGAAAAGTTGGCGGGAGTGTTGAGAGAGAAATGGGAAGCCGTGGTTGGAAGTTGACTAGTTTGAAGGGTATAAGTCCCACAATATGCACCCAGAAGATTTTGCTTGAAGAATGATCCAAACTGGTGGCACAATCGCAACGAATGCTAAATCTGAACACATATGAGGTTGTGAAAAATGAAGCTATCAAGCTTCTTGATGTGGGAATGATCTATTCCATTTCAGATAGTTCTTGGGTGAGTTCGGCACATGTGGTACCAAAGAAGGGGGGATCACGGTAGTAGAAAATGAAAAGCGTGAGTTAATACCCACAAGGAAGGTGACCGAGTGGAGAGTTTGCATTGACTACTAGAGGCTTAACGATGTAACTCACAAAGACCATTTTCCACTAGACCACTACTTTTTGTGGATCAGATGGTTGAGCAGGTGAGTAGTTATGGCTTCTATTGTTTCCTAGAAGGGATGAGCGACTGATTTCAAATCCCAGTAGCCTTTGTAACACCCCAAAATTTTAACTTATTATACTTTCTTTTATTAATATTAACATACATCCTGAACTTACCATAAATAAAACTTACCAAAAATAGATTTTTGACATTCATTTCTTCTAAGTTCGATAAAAACAAATCATAGTTCAATACCTCAAATTCATCTAGGTGTTACCGCCACATCTAACCTACAAAAGACTAAATGTAAGGCTAGTCTAACTTTATTCAACAATAAAGAAAAATTTAAAAATTAATAAAAACAAAGTCTTAGAGAAAATCACAACATCCCTTTTATTTCAAAACTTTTCCAATCGGGAAACTGTCGGTATTACTTTATTGATTCTCTTCATCAAACACACTTGTTCAATCCATGCTTTCATCAATCCCTGCTAAATTTAACAAGGAACTTATAACAAAACAACGAGGATTAGCAAAACATGCTAAGTAAGAGTTTACTTGCCCGAAAACAAAAGTTAAAATATAATAAGGTACATTTACTTTCAAAAATAATTTTCTTTCAAATTTACTCACAAAACTTTCTTCACTTCTCCATGAACCAATCACCATATCAATATGTACCTTTAAAGATTTAAATTCATTCCAATGTAACATAGACATATTATGGAAAAACACAAATCACATAAATGGGCAGGGTCCTTTATACTTAGGCGCTAGTGAACAGCATCACGCTGAACACTCCACAAAATCCCATTTCTAGTGGAATCTGGACCTAGTCTTGCTAATGTAGTCAACTGCGGACATGTCACCTTGATGAAGTGTTTGTAACTGTTCGAGAAGGTTCAGGTCACGAGAGCGAGAAAACGATGCAAGTGCGCTAACGATGGCAGTTCAGACAGCCCGGCTGGTACGGTGTCCAATGGTGAGCAGCACAACTTCATTAGAAAACGACGATATTAACATAGATAAAAGGGCTTGATCTTTCCGAATCCATGCAAGGTGCGCAGGGTTGGGCTGTGTTGCTGTCGCATCGTCTCTGTCATCGGAGAGAGAGGCCGGCGGATACGGATTTGTTTTGTCAACGAATCCAAGAAGATCATGACCATCAAGAAACGGGACAACCTGAGCTCTCTAAAATAGGTAGTTCTTGTAAGTCAATTTAATGCTAATGAAGTTCCGCCAGTCATTGGAAAGAAACTCTAGCTTAACTAATACCAGATGAGAACTAATAGAGTTGTATTGAATGAATGTGATTACAATTGTACAGATTACAGGTATTTATAAGGAGTGAGTCGGAGACTGAGATAGGGAATCATAACCTAACTCAAATACATAGAGTCCTAATAAACAATGCAAATCAATTGAAAAAGAAATCAAAATAGGAAAGCAATTAAATTTTACCAATTAGAATGTAAAATGTTGTCTTCTTCTACAATGGATCTTGAATGGAAGGTTGTCAAGCTTCTTCTCCAAGATCTTCAAGCTATGTGACTCTGGAACCCTAAATTCTAGAGAGAGAAAGTTTGTAATATGAAAATTATCTATATCAAATGAAAATGTATCCAAAAATCCCCTTCCTAATTCTAATCCAAGCCCTTAAATAGTATTTCCTTCCATTAAACTTCAAAGTTACCGAGTTGTCCCGTCCATGCATCCGATCCACGTGCGTGGATCGATCACTTAAGCTGTCTTCGGCTCGTTCCACACACGTCGGTCGGGTGCGTGGAAGTTTTTGTTTCCCTTCCATGCACCATCCCATGTGCGTGGCTGGTCGCCTGGAACTTTCAGTTCCACTTCCACGCATGCCTCCATGTGCGTTACTAGTCCCAGCCTGGCTCCGATTTTGCCCTTTTCTTGTGATGTTCCGTTTCATGCTCATATGCCTCCTTTTCAAGCAAAACCTTCATAAATCATAGAAACACGAAGTAGAGTGGTGTTTTGAAGCACATTAGCAAATACAAGCATAAACAACCATAAATCCTGGACAAAGCTAAGGATATCAAATGAGTATAAAATACCCCTTAGACCCTAAAAGATGTGTGTCCTTAGCACTTATCAATAAGCTCTACCTGCGCTCCTACAATAGCACGTTATTGAAATGTTTATACCTGGATGAATCTGAGCTAATGATGAAAGAAGTACACAAAGGGGTGCGCTCCGCGCACCAGGGGGCGTACACCATCGCGTGACGCATCATGCTGCAAGGGTTCTTTTGGCCCAAAATGTGGAAGGATTTCACTGAAAATGAAAGACGGTGTCTTAAGTGCCAAGAATTCCAAGTATTACCGGGCCGACCTGTAACCAACTACACCCTGGTGAGTACCGCAATTCCTTTTTTAAGATGGGGAATTGACCTGGTAGGGGCCCTTCCCACAGGATCCGGAAGCAAAAAATACATCATTGTGGACGTCGACTATTTCACTAAATGGGTGGAGGCCGAGCCCCTAGCAAACATCACCGTAGTCAAGTGCAAAGAAAAAAAAATATTTTGCGTCGCTTCGGTGTCCCCCTCCAGGTAATCACATATAATGGTCGTCAGTTTGAAGTGATGATTGTAGAAAGCGGTGGATGGAAAGAAGGTTGGGAATGAAGATTCCTGGGATGTCGTTCTCAAAGTATAGACAATTTGGAATTGACTATTGTGTTGTCAAGCTCAAACACACGTTTGCAATGGGAAACTAATTGAGAGCATTCTATGGGGGAGAGAATGCAAGTAAGCAAAGAATTGAAGTTAGTAAGGTGGAGTTAGGTGAATTGGATGACTATCAACTAGTGGTATATAGCCTATGTGAGATGACTTCCAATACCGCTCACCTCTCGGTTTACTAGGCATTTCCTTGGTATGAAGCACCTTTAAGTGACCATGGTCCTAAGGAGCATTTCATCAAACATCGTGTCTACATCTCATTCCCAACTTAGGCCCCTCAGATCTTAAAGAAGCGAAATGCAAGAAAGATGAGCTTAGGATTAAACTGCAATCTCTTGTTAGCTTAATCCTTCTCAAACCTACA